TCTAATACCAACAAAACTATACTGTCTAGATTCTTTTTTTTTTTTTTTTTTTTTTTTTTTTGAGACGGAGTCTCGCTCTGTAGCCCGGCTGGAGTGCAGTGGCCGGATCTCAGCTCACTGCAAGCTCCGCCTCCCGGGTTTACGCGATTCTCCGCAACTGCAAATCAGCACTCCCCTCGGCCTCCCAAAGTGCTGGGATTACAGGCTTGAGCCACCGCGCCCGGCCACATTCTTTTAATTAATTAGCTTGCCTTCCAAGTTTACTTCCATTTATCTTCAGAGAATCTTCAAAGAAATCATATCATTCCACGATCTCATAAACCCTTCATATATTTCCCCCACCATTTTAAGCTCTATTTCTTTTTTTTTGAGACGGAGTCGCGCACCTGGCCTTAAGTGCTAGAGTGCCGCACCTGGCCTTAAGCTCTATTTCTTTAAAATTTTCTAGACAATATAATTATTGTCTAGAAAAATTATGTTAACAACTCTTTTAACAGTCTTACACTTTGACATAAATATTGCATGAAAAATGCAGACTTGATAGTGATCCTTTGTCACAGAAATACTTTTTTGGTGATCTTTAAACTCTTTTGGGCTGGGCACAGTGGCTCATGCCTGTAATCCCAGCACTTTGACAGGCCGAGGCTGGCAGATCACCTGAGGTCAGGAGTTCCAGACCAGCCTGGCCAACATGGTGAAACTGTCCCTAATAAAAATACAAAAAAAGCTGGCCAGTCATGGTGGCATGCGCCTGTAGTCCCACCTACTCCGGAGGCTGAGTCAGGAGCATCAATTGAACCTGGGAGGTGGAGTTTACAGTGAGCCGAGATCACACCACTGCACTCCAGCCTGGACGACAGAGCGAGACTCCGTCTTAAAAAAAAAAAAAAAAAAAATTCTTTTGCGTTTACATGATCACTGCATAATCATAGTTAGGTGATGTCTGGCAGAATGCAACCACTTCAAGCACAATCCATAGGGACACAGCATGAGTAGGTACATCTAAAAAGAACTTGCTAGTATATGCTTTCTGAATGGATGAAAAGATATCTCCCTTACATAGCTCCATAAGCAATTAACGCAGCAACTACTGAACACCTAACATGTTAAATAATACCACAGTAATGAAGTTTCAAAAGGGATCTTATCTTTTAGGAAAAGAATCCTTAAGAATGCTTGATTCCCTCAAAAAAATGAAGATTCAAAAGGGATCTTACTTTTGAGGGAAAGAATCCTGAAGCATCCTTAAAAATCTTTAAGCATAAACAATTAGGAAAGAAATTATACGACTGTATTCAAGAATTGTGCATGTTTGTGTTATAGTCAGTAGTTAGCACAGGAATTCAGAAAAAAAGTAAGGTACATATGATGTGCAGTAATCAAGGAAGAGTTCACAGAGAAATCTTGAGACTTAGAAGATATATAGTATAGGCTGGGCACGGTGGCTCACGCCTGTAATCCCAGCACTTTGGGAGGCCAAGGCAGGTGGATCACAAGGTCAGGAGATCAAGACCATCCTGGCTAACACGGTGAAACCCCGTCTCTACTAAAAAATACAAAAAATTAGCCGGGCGTGGTGGTGGGCGCCTGTAGTCCCAGCTACTCGGGAGGCTGAGGCAGGAGAATGGCATGAACCAGGAAGGCAGAGCGTGCAGTGAGCCAAGATCAAGCCACTGCACTCCAGCCTGGGCAACAGAGTGAGACTCTGTCAAAAAAAAAAAAAAAAAAAAAAAAGATACATAGTACAAAGGGAGAACAGAACACAATGAAAAGTATCTATGTGATAACAAACCCTACATTCATGAACAACAATTAGGAGACTAGATCATGTGGAAATTATCAAGAATTTTCTCCAAGAGAAAGTTGAAAAGACCAGATGAGGGCTTATTGTGACAGTTCCTGAAAGAAATTTCAATTTCATATAATAAATGATAAAAAATAGGGAAAAACTGATGGGATACTTTGTGAGGAAAGTAACAATAAATATTGATGAATCCAGACAAAACTTATCACAAAGACAAATGGTAATTCCAGTAATAAATACATGAAATAAGATAGTTGTCATTTTGTATGATGTCAGTGAGAAATGAGAATATGGGAGAATGTCAATATATTTCACAAGCTGATAACCATATCACAAATTGCAAAGAGATGATAAGAGAAACAGAAAAACCAAGTTGACTTTGTAGTAGAAACAAAATTATTTTGAAGGGGTTGGGCGCCTATAATCCCAGTACTTTGGGAGGCCAAGGCAGGCAGATCATCTGAGGTCAGGAGTTCAAGACCAGCCTGACCAACAGGGAGAAACCCCATCTCTATTAAAAATACAAAATTAGCCGGGCATGGTGGCACATGCCTGTAATCCCAGCTACCAGGGAGGCTGAGGCAAGAGAATTGCTTGAACCTGTGAGCCGGGGGCTGCAGTGAGTGAAGATCACCCCATTGCACTCCAGCCTGGGCAACAAGAGCGAAACTCCATCTCAAATTAAAAAAAAAAAATAATAATAATAATAATAATAAAATTAAAAAAATAAAAAAATAATAATGAATTAAATAACGGGAGGACAGGCATGGTGGCTCATGCCTGTAATTGGAGCACTTTGGGAGGCCGGGCACAGTGGCTCATGCCTATAATCTGAACACTTTGGGAGGTCGGGCACAGTGGCTCATGCCTATAATCTGAACACTTTGGGAGGTCGAGGCGGTGGATCACCTGAGGTCAGGAGTTCGAGACCAGCCTGGCCAACATGGCGAAACCCCATCTCTACTAAAAATACAAAAATTAGCCGGGCGTGGTGGTGGGCACCTGTAATCCCAGCTACTCTGGAGGCGGAGGCAGGAAAATCACTTGAACCCAGGAGGTGGAGTTTGCAGTGAGCCGAGATCGCACCACTGTACTCCAGCCTGGGCGACAGAGCAGGACTCCATCTCAAAAATAATAAATAAATATGGCTGGGCGCGGTGGCTCATGCCTGTAATCCCAGCACTTTGGGAGGTCAAGGCGGGCGGATCACAAGGTCAGGAGATTGAGACCATCCTGGCTAACACAGTGAAACCCCGTCTCTACTAAACATACAAAAAATTAGCTGGGCGTGGTGGCTGACGCCTGTAGTCCCAGCTACTCGGGAAGCTGAGGCAGCAGAATGGCGTGAACCCAGGAGGTGGAGGTTGCAGTGAGCCGAGATTGCACCACTGCACTCCAGCCTGGCCGACACAGCAAGACTCCATCTCAAAAAATAATAATAATAAAAAATAACAAATAAATAAATAAATGGGAAAAATGTTAAAAGCTGAAAAAGCCAGTGATTTTCATTTCTGACACATTGTCAGAAAATAGGTGAGATGATAAGACTATAGTACGCCTGATGAACTGGAGTGAAGGTAGGAGAAATGTGCTTTGTATATTGACGTCAGTGCCATCTACACATAAAATAAAGAGTGTCAGTCTGAGAATGGATGGAATCATTATAATTGAAAGGTAGATCATGGGAGGGCATATGAGAGAAATGAGACCAAGTGTCCAGTGAAACAATAAACATACATTTAAAAAAATAAAATCTGTTGTGACTATTATGTGCCAAGCATTTTTCAGGTGATATGGCCACAGTGGTGAAGAAAAGAGGCCAAGTTGTAAATAAGCATTCAAGGAATTAGGATAAGAATTAGTGTTATGTCACTTAAATGAAGGATTGATTGCAGGAATGATGAAAAGCCATGTAAAATGAACCAGAAAGGTTTAATGGAAGAAAATGGCAACTTCGACTTTATCAACCTGGGTCGTGTTAAGTGACTTCTAAAATTAACAGCTAAATTTGTAGTGAGAAGGGGAACTTAGCACAGAAAATAAAGCCGAGGTGGTATGAAGGAAAGGAAATGTTAAGTAAGGAGAGGACCACTAACCAATAATTTTCTCTCATTTTAAAGACAGGCTGAAGAAAGCCTGAAAGAAATCTATTATAATGGTGCCAGGTGCAGTGGCTCAAGTCTGTAATCCCAGCACTCTGGGAAGCCGAGGTGGGCAGATCACAAGCTCAGGAGTTTGAGACCAGCCTGGCCAATATGGTGAAACCCCACCTCTACTAAAAATACAAAAAAGTTAGCTGGGCCTGTTGGTGCACGCCTGTAATCCCAGCTACTTAGGAGGTCAAGGCAGAAGAATTGCTTGAACCCGGGAGGCGGAGGTTGCAGTGAGCTGAGATCACACCACTGCACTCCAGCCTGGGCAACAGAGTAAGATTCCGTCTCAAAAACAAAAACAAAAAACCACCAAAAATAAATAAATACATAAAGCTTTCCTGATGAAATCTATCACAATGGCAAGGTAAGAACTGAGAATGCTGGAAAAAGAGACACAAGTCAATAAAAAAGATCTAAAAGAAAGAAGGCTTATGGTACACTCAGAGTGGCAGTTATTTTTAACAATATGAAGCAAACTAGGAACGAATGTATTTGGGAAAAGTGATATATATATGTGTGTGTGTGTGTGTGTGTGTGTGTGTTTTTGAAATGGAGTCTTGCTGTATTGCCCAGGCTGGAGTGCAGTGGCACGATCTTGGCTCACTGGAACCTCTGCCTACTGTGTTTAAGCGATTCTCCGATCTCAGCCTCCCAAGTGGCTGGGATTACAGGCATGTGCCACCACACCCAGCTAATTTTTGTATTTTTAGTAGAGACAGAGTTTCACTATGTTGGCCAGGTTGGTTTCAAACTCCTGACCTCAGGTGATCCACCTGCCTCAGCCTCGCGAAGTGCTAGGATTACAGGTGTGAGCCACCATGCCCAGTAGAAAGAGTGATATTTAAAAGTCTGGTTCTGTTTTTGTTTTTGAGACAGGGTCTTGGCTCTGTAGCCCAGGCTGGCGTGTAGTGGCGTAATTCTAGCTCACTGTAACCTTGAACCCTTGGGCTCAAGTGATTCTCCTACCTCAACCTTCTAAGTAGCTGGAACCACAGGTGTATGCCATCATTCCTGGCTTTTCTTTTTTTTTTTTTTTGAGACAGGATCTTGCTCTGTCTCCAGGCTGGAGCAGTGTAATCACGGCTGACCACAGACTTGACCTCCTGGGCTCAAGTGATCCTCCCATCTTAGCTTCCTGAGTAGCTGGGACTAAAGGTGCACAACACCATGCCCAGCTAACTTTTTTTTTTTTTTGGTAAAGATGGGGTTTTGCCATGATTCCCAGGCTGGTCGCAAACTCCTGGGCTCAAGGGATCTGCCCATCTTGGCCTCCCAAAGTGCTGGGATGACAGGTATGAGCCACCACACCCAACCTTGGCTAAGTTTTTATTTTTGTCTTTTTGTAGTGATGGGGTCTTGCTATGCTGTCCAGGATGGCTTTGAACTCGTGGCCTGAAACTCTTACCTTGGCCTCCCAAAGTGTAGATTATAGGCGTGAAGGTTTTCAGAGGTCAGGAGCCTTTAAAAAGATACTCCTGAAACATTTCAAAGGTATCACCCACCATTTGACCTCTTTAAATTTACATTCTGCTAGGTCTGCCTAGGAGCCAGAAACTCACCCAAGCAGGTATGACCTGAAAATGATGTCCATGGCTCTTCTCCTCGTTCTAACTTGAGGATCACATCAGGTTTGGTCATGTGACACCCTGATAAGGGAAAAAAAGGCTTACGTTGATTGGGCTATAATACTGTTGGAAAATGAGGAAGGGTGCATGTTCAGTACTGCAAATTAAGATACCCATTTGTGTATCAATCTAGGTAGCACCTTGCACTGGGCAAGTGAAGACACAATCATTCATTCTGCTAACCAAAAGGAATTCATCATCTTTTATTCCTGAAATTCAAGATTATACATACTTTAGGCACTTTGAGAAGAAGTACATGCTACTGAAAATTTCAGAGAATTTTTCTTACCCACAGAGATGAGGTGGCAATAGTTTTCCAACATCACATCCATATATAGAGTCTTCTGAGCATGATCCAGGTGCTGCCACTCCTCCTGAGTGAAGTCCACAGTCACATCATTGAATGACACTGATCCCTAGAATGGAAGGAACTGTAATCAGAACAGGTGGACTTGGCTGGGTACAGTGGCTCACGCCTGTAATCCCAACACTTTGGGAGGCCGAGGTGTGTGGATCACTTGAGGTCAGGAGTTAAAGACCACCCTGGCCAAGATGATGAAACCCCATGTCTACTAAGAATACAAGGCCGGGTGCGGTGGCTCAAGCCTGCAATCCCAGCACTTTGGGAGGCTGAGACGGGCAGATCACAAGGTCAGGAGATCGAGACCATCCTGGCTAACACAGTGAAACCCCGTCTCTACTAAAAAGTACAAAAAACTAGCCGGGCGAGGTGGCGGGCACCTGTAGTCCCAGCTACTCGGGAGGCTGAGGCCGGAGAATGGCGTAAGCCCAGGAGGCGGAGCTTGCAGTGAGCTGAGATCCGGCCACTGCACTCCAGCCTGGGCGACAGAGCGAGACTTTGTCTCAAATAAAATAAAATAAAATAATTAAAAAAAAAAAGAATACAAAAAATTAGCTAGGCATAGTGGCACGGACCTGTAATCCCAGTTACACGGGAGGCTGAGGCAGGAGAATAGCTTGAAACCAGGAGGCGGAGGTTGCAGTGAGCCCAGATCATGTCACTGCATTCCAGCCTGGGTGACAGAGCAAGACTCCGTCAAAAAAAAAAAAAAAAAAAAAGAAAAGAACAGGGGGACCAGATATTGGGAACTACTTTTGACCCTGCTTCCTTGTGGCATTCATATGAATCCTTGTACAGAAAGACTACAATTTTCCCTGTTTTATGATTTATATTGAATGGGAAACAAAAATCAAGATAAAAATACCCATCAGTTAATTTTTAAACAACACATTCTAAGAATATTTACTGTGAAGTCACTTAATGCCGAAAACTGTATTTATTTATGGCAGTGCCAAGACAAACACCATTTCTGCTCAGAAGTTACCAGAGGCATTTAACACATACTTGCAAGAAAATGTAAGTCAACACAAACCTGCAAGAAGGTACAACAAAGAAATATGTACAAGATACAGCATGTATCACAAAGGTAGAACAATTTCTCAGGCTTCACTAATGAGGTAAATGTTTCCCCATTTAACATGAGTATGTTATACATGAAGAAAATGGTTTGTATGTGCTTGGTGAGATTTTTCAGCATGCAGCAATAACAGAGTAAAACAGTAAGGGAAACAGTCCCTCAGATAATAATTATAAAATGTGCACATGCCATACAATAAACAACTAATAGAAGGCACTGGAAAGCAACCAAAGCAGGCAGAAATGGGAAAAGAGCTTATCCTTGAAGGACAGCAACTGCAATGTACAATAACTGCTAATTTTGTGGCTTTTTTTGCATCATGGCACCTGAAACCCCACAGCTCTCATGGCATAAAACCACCACTTACTTCCTCAAAGGTGATAGAGGACAGAAACGAGAGCCTGAGGCCGGGCGTGGTGGCTCATCTGAGGTCAGGAGTTTGAGACCAGCCTAGCTAACATGGTGAAACCCTGTCTCTACTAAAAATACAAAACTTAGCTGGGTGTGGTGGTGGGCGCCTGTAATCCTAGCTAATTGGGAGGCTGAGGTAGTAGAATTGCTTGAACCCGGGAGACGGAGGTTGCAGTGAGCCGAGGTTGTGACCCCTGCACTCCAGTCTGGGTGACAGAGAGAGACACTGTTACCAAAAAAAAAAAAAAAAAAGGAATAAAAAAGAAACGAGAGCTGGAAATTTAGGCTAATTCTGGAAGCGAGGGAACTGCAGAAAGGATGAAAATGAAAATCTGAGCATAAACTCTGCCACAACTCCTGGTTGATAAAATATGCATGTGTTGGAGAGATCACAGAGGGCTTAGCAAAAAGCAGACAAAACTACAACAGAAAAGAATCTTGAAAAATAAAAGTGCACCTAGTAAGATTCTAAGGCTTCTGCTTCTTGACTGATAGTATTCTACAACCTGCTCACAGCCCAAGAAGAATAAAACTGGAGGCTTACTGGATTAAGGTGTCACAGCTTGCACTGACAAAGCAGCAGGAAGTGTAGAGGATAAAACTTGAAAAAGAGAAATGCAGGATGTAAGCCCCCAAATCTAAACACTCACCAATTCCTTGACTGAGAGAAAAGTACATGAACACAAGGGAGAACCTATCTACTTTCAGGAGGTTAGGGTAAAAGGCAGCAGCTAGAAGCTTGAAGAACCAGGAGGATATATCAGCTGCTTTATACTGAGCAGGGAGACAAAGTTTGATGTTTGATTACAAGCAAGCTAATTATCTACTACTACTACTAATAATAATAATTCTCAGAAGAACATAACAGACGTAACAGAATTTGGATTACAATAATATTTATCATGTCCAGTTTTCTAGCAAAAATTACTAAACATGCAAATAAAACAAAACAAAACAAAAAGGAGTGGGGGAATAAGACCTATAGTCACCAAAAGACAATCACAGAAACTAACTCCTAGTGAGCCCTGATGTTGGATTTTGCAAAAAAACAAAAACAAAAACAAAAAAAAACAAAGGCTACAAAGTAGCTGTTCTAAATGTATTCAAAGAAATAACTGAAATAAAAAATTAACTAGATAAGCTTAATAGCAGAGCAGAAATACGGAATCAGTATCCGTGTAAATTAATCAAGAGAAAGTAAGTAATCTGAACAGAAAGAAAAAAGAATCATGAAAAATGAACAGACTCACAAAGATCTGTGGGTCATATTCAAAAATCCAATATGGATATAATTCGAGTCCCAGAATGGGGAGAGAAAAAGAAAGGGCATAAATAAATTTTATGGAAATAATGGCCTAACACATCCAAATTTGGCAAGAACTTTTAACTTACATATTCAAAGAGTTTAACCCTAAAAGGATAAACACCAAAGAAAACCACACTTAGCCAAATCCTAATTAAACTGCTACATAGCCAAGAATTCCACATGCAGCAAACTATATATTCAAAATGAAGGCAACATCAAAATATTTTCAGATGAAACCTAGAGAATTCATCACCAGCAGGACTGCACCATCAAAAATGCTAACAGGCCGGGCATGGTGGCTTACTTCTGTAATCTGGGCACTTTGCGGGGCTGAGGTAGGAAGACTGCTTGAAGCTAGGAGTTTGAGATCACCCTGGGCAACAAAGTAAGACCTCCATCTCTGGGGTGGGGGAAGGCGGGGGAGTGGGGCCTATAGGAAATTCTTCAGGCTTAAGGTAAAAATAACACTAAGGTCTTTAAGAAGGTATGAAGAAAATAAGAAAAATTTTAAGAGTATAAATATTCATTTCCTTTCTTCTTTACAAGATACAACTATTTCAAGCAGCAGTCAGGGAATGTCTCTGCTATTTTAGCACGAAAGCAACCATAGATAATATGTAAATAAATGAGCAAAGATGTGTTTCAATAAAACTTAGTTATGGACACTAATGTTTAAATTTCATGAAGTTTTAGTGTGTCAGAAATATTTTTTCTTGTAAATGTTTTCAAACGTTTCAAATGCAAAGATAATTCTTAGCTCACAATCTGTACAAAATAGGTTTGAAATAGGCTGGATTTGGCCTGTGGACTATAGAACCTTGACTTAAAATAAACATTCCAATACCATTTATTACAAACATAAATATATACATGGCAAACAAAAAAGTAAAAGACAGGTATTAATAAATGAAACTATAGCGTGGCAAGATTGATGTATTTTTACCATAACTAATTTAACATTAACCCTAAGAAAATCCTGATAAGTTGAAGATCCATACTGTAATCCTAGGGCAATCACGCAAAAAATGCAAATGCATAACTAAAAAGGTAACAGAGGAATGAAAATGAATCATTAAAACGTATGTGACTGACAAAAAATACAACAGAATGTAGGAATAGATAAGCAAAAACAGGTTAGGAGGAATTTAAATGCATATTACCAAGTGAATGAAGCCACTCTGAAAAGGCTACATGGTATATAGCCTTCCAGATTCTAACCATATGGCATTTTGGAAAAGGCAACATTTTGGAGAGAGTAAAAAGATCAGTGGTTTCCAGGGGGTAGCAGGGAGGGAGGGATAAACAGGCAGAGCAAAGAGGATTTTCAGGGCAGTGAAACCATTTTGTAAGATAATATAATGGTGAATATATGCCATTACATATTTGTCAAAACCCACAATAGCAATATCAACAGTAAACCCTAATGTAAACTATGAATTTTGGGTGACAATAACGTGTTAATGTAGCTCCAGCGTTTATACAAATGGACTTCTCTGGTGCCAGACACTGACAGTGAGAGATACTGTGTGTGTGCAGGGAATAAGTATATAGGATCTTTCTGTTTTTCTGTTCAGTTTTGACATGAACTTAAAACTGCTCTAAAAAATATGCCTGTAATCCCAGCATTTTAGGAGGCCGAGGCTGGCGGATGACCTGAGCCCAGGAGTTTGAGACTAGCCTGACCAACATAGCAAAACCCTGTCTCTACCAAAAATACAAAAATTAGCTGAGTGTGGTGGTGCACACCTATAGTCCCAGCTATTAGGGAGGCTGAGGCAGAAGTTGCAGTGAGCTGAGATGGCACCACTGTATTCCAGCCTGGGGACAGAACAAGATTCTATCTCAAAAAAAAAGCAAAACCAAACAGGTTAGGCAATCATAAAACAAATAGCGAAAATGACTGCCCTAAATCCAACTATACCTTTACTTGTATTCAATGTAAATGGACTAAACACTCCAATGAGAAGGTAGAGATTATCAGTGTCTATGAAAGCAAGATTCAAATAGGCTGCGTGTGGTGGCTCACAGCTGTAATCCCCACAGTTTGGGAGGCCAAGGTGGGAGGATCACTTCAGCCCAGGAGTTCATAAGCAGCCTGGGTAACACAGTGAGACCCTGTGTCTACAAAAAATAAAAAAAAAATTACCTAGGCACTGGGTGTGGTGGCCCACCCCTGTAATCCCAGCACTTTGGGAGGACAAGGCAGTCAGATCACTTGAGGTCAGGAGTTCAAGACCAGCCTGGCCAACATGGTGAAACC